CGTGGTAAGGACTCTGGAACTTATTCTAGTTGTGGTGTGATACCACCGCAGGGTTTTGAGCAGAGGAGAGATGTGATCAGAATTAGGTTCTCAAAGGTTCATCCTACCTCTGTGTAGATAAAAAACTAAAAATGGCACAAAGGCAAACACAGGGTGATCAGTCAGAAGACTATTACAGTAATTCAGATGAGAAATGACAGTGCCTTCATCAAGAGTAATAGTAGTAGAGATGGAGAGGAATGACTGGATTTTACATTTATTCTGCAGGTGGGGTAGGCAAGATTTGCTGATGGATTAGATGTAGTGTAAAAGCAAATGAGAGAAGTCAAGAATGATTCCAAGGCTTTGGCCTTAGGCAAAGAGTTAAACAGAAATGCCATTTGTTGAGATGCGGGATACAGAGAGGGCAGGTATGCTTGAGGGGAATGGAATCAATAATTGTTTTGGCCATGCTACTAGACATCCAAATGAAGATGCTGAAAGGCAGCAGGATTATACAACTTTGGAGTTTAGGAAGAAATCATCATTATCAGTGTTCTCCTCGTTTCTATTTCCCAGGAGATAGATTACAGTGTCTCCAAGACACCTTCCAGCTCAAATATTATTTGGCCCTGTGGGATCTGGTTCCTGAAGTCTCCTGGACAAACTTTTCATCTAAGGACACGATGTAGATAAAGGGGATAATGACTAGAAACAGCAATAATTATTGCTGCTACAGTCTGGAAATAAAGTACTTTTGAGGCAGGAAGCAATAAATGGCCTCTTGTAGGCCAATATCTACTACAGCACTCTAGGAAGCAAAGAGCATTTCTCCTATTTGTGGGTAATCAAGGCAAGCCAAAACCTACCTACCATTTCAAAACTGTGTTTCTGAAAAGCACAGGTACAGGTAAACTTTACTGTGATGAAGTGGAGTTTGTGAGAGAGTCTAAGAGAAATATGCACTAATGTTTCCATAGAGGATCAGAGTCAAGGATTCTGACAAGTCTAGTCAAGTGTGACAACAGCTGCATTCACCCTTTCAGAAGCATATGTCCTTAGCTGACTGAGGTACCCTCCTCCATGTTGCAGTAATAGGCAGCATACGTCTCTAGTATCATTTTATCTTGTATCATTATCTGTTCATATGTCTTTGTCCCCAAGTGTGTGTTCTAGGAGCACAGACACTGTTTCTCAGTCATCCTTGTATTCCTGTCCCTAGCAGAGAGAATGGCCCACGTAGGTACCTAATACATATTTGATGAAGCAATAAGGAAATGAATCCCTTTGTGCAGAGTGTCAGGTCTTTTATTTTTTTAATTTTTTTTCCTATTTATTTTTAATTTTTACTTAGAGCATTTAATGACAGGAAATGGAGGTTTTCTTGAGATGTCTGGAGGAGGTAGGATTCTCCCTTAACCCAAAGGACTAGGACAGCTTACTGTGGAGGTGTGATTTTAAAGAGGCCCAGAGCTGCTAGAGGAGGAGGGGTGCACATGAACATGAAGATTTGTAGTGAAAGAACCTTACTGAAGAGGCCATGAAGAACTCTGCAAGGATGACACTTGCATGTGGCACTGTGAACACATGACGCATAGGATGCCATTCACCACCAAGATTCCATGAGGCCCATTATGGGTACCTAGTTCAGTATACAATCTGATTAAGAAGTTCTGAGCTACTTTTTTACGGTCCTTGATTCTAGGGCCTAAACACTAATAGGAAAGATTGAAATTATTTGCTTGGTCTTTAGGGCTGCTATCAGACCAACCACTCATGCATAAAAGCCCAATGTTCATAGTTAAGAGTCAAGGGTAGCTTCCTGAAACTTTCATTTGTATTCCAGACCACACAAGAGATGCCTGACCCTGCTTTCTGTGCTAGTCAATGCCAAAAGGATTATGCAAGTTTTCATAGGTTAGGTTTCATGACAGTCTGGAATGATACTCTTCTACCTACAGAGTTAGTTAACTTGGTCACTTTGGATATAAGGTATTCACCCACTTGGTTAGATTAAGAGGCTAGTAACTATGTGAGCCACCTACGGGAATGAGAAATGAACAATGAGTGATCACTAAAGGGCGGGGGTAGCATATAGTGTTAAGTTATTCAATGCCCAATAACCAGTGTTGCCTTTCATCTAGAAAACAACATAATCATCTGAACAAGTTCAAGATCCTGACAGGCTGAGAGCCTCCCACTGCTTTGCCCCTCTAAAATGAAGACTTACTGGGAATCGAAATGGGCCAAAGCTGAGCACAATTAAAAGGAAAACTCAACCTCCAACTCTGCACAGAGCGCAAGGGCAGATGGAACATCCCTAAAATGACTGGATCCCTGGGGTTCACCTAAGCAGCCCGCAAACATCGCCGTCAATAGCCGGTGGTCATGTCTCTGCCCTTCGTCATCCCAGGCCTCTCTCGGGCAACATCCGACCGAAGCCCACACAATCTGACGCCTGTCCACTTCCTCAGCCTCGCCAAAAATCCGGGTCGCTCCGGCACTGACCCCGCCTCGGCCCCGTGGCCCCTCGGCTCACCCCAGGCAGCCAGACAGTCGATCTGCAGAGGCAGCTTTTCTAGGATCGGCACTGGCTCGAAAGCGTCGTGCATGGCGGCGAGGAGAAAGTCGCCGCCGCCGTCTCGTCCCAAGGGTGCCGGGCCGGGGTAGGGTCCGGAAAAAGGCTGGGGAAAGAGTAGACCAAGAACCAGCCAGGAATCCCGGCTACAGGCCCTTCAGCAACAGAGCCAATCGTCAACACCGGACTTCCTGCTCATTAAGCCCGCCCCTTCCGCCGCCGCAGTCCCGCCCCTTCCGCCCAATGCACTGTCAAGGAATTTACTGGTCCCTGGGTTCTCAGGACACAGAATTCCTCCATCCAAAGTAGCCACAGGCTTAACAAGAAAGGAAACAGCTCTTAATGTTAGAACTGTCTTAGGCAGTTAGCGTGGTGGTTAAGAATTCGCGCTTTGGCGTAAGACCCGAGATGGAGAGCTGTTACTTAGGAAATGAACTGTGTTGTTCAGGAAATTTAATCTTTAGAGGACTTTCCTAATCTGCAAAACGATTTTAGAGTAAATACCTATGACCTAGTCTCCTAAACGCTTAGCCAACACCTGCCACACTCTAAGCACTCAATAAATACTTGTTTTAGTATTGCCATTATATCCCACCTAGTTCAAGTACCTTACCTTCACACTTCAAAGTTGTTCTGGGCAGTGTGTTAAAGTGTGGTCCCTAGACCGGCATGAGCAGGGCCTGTGAACTTGTTGGAAATGCAGTTTGAGGCCTCACTGAACCCAACTGGGCCTCACTGGCCCAACTCTACTGAACCAGAAATTCTAGAGGGGAACAGTAATCTATGTTTTAATAAACCCCAAAATGAATCCATGTACTTAGAAGCTTGAGAACCACCATTGCAGGCTAGGGTTTCTCAACTGTAGCACTACTGACATTTAGGGCAGGATAATTGTTTGGGGGAAGGGGGTTATTCTGCGTAGTGTAGGATGTTTAACAGCATCCCTAACCTCCACCTACCAGATGTCATTAGCACCCTCTCTCCAGAGATATAACCAACAATGTCTTTCTTTGCCAAATGTCACCTGGGAGGCAAAATCACCTCGGCTGAAAACCATTGTTTGAGGCCAATGCTTCTCAAATTTAATGTGCATAAGAATCACCTGGAGATATTGTTAAAATGCATATTTTGATTCAGTAGGACCAGAATAGGGCCCTCAATTGAGCATTTCTAACAAGCTCTCAGGTGTTGCTGATGTTACTAGTCCCTAGACATTTAGGCAGCACGAGTTGATTCACTAGCTCTTGGAACCCAGTAAAATAAACTCCTTTTTAAATTGATGGTCACTTTCCTACCAATTAAACTATCCAAAGCTGTGTCTTACACATCCTAATATTCCTTTTAGGAACGTAAGTGTCATGGCTCCTTCCTCCTATGGGTCCTGTTCTATCTGAGGTTACCTTAGTATTCCCTCTGGAGACATAAAACAACAAAATTGAGTTTGAGCTGCAAGAATAATCCCTATCTGGTAACTTCCCCCTAAGAAGGTAAGTTATAAAATTAAGCACTGGGGTTTAAAGCAAAAATGTAAAAGAAAAGGGTGAGTCTATGAAATGAAGTCAAAAAATTGGTCCTGGTCACTTTATTTTTATACAATGTCAGTTTCTTCATATGTAAACTAAACTAGGGATATTTGTCCCATCTTTACCAAACACTGTTCTGATAATCAAATGGAAATATATTTTCAAGGAGTCAGAAACACAAAAATCACTAAACAAATCTTGTGTTATGGCTGATTTCACCACAGAAGCTGATTACCTTCCTAAAAATTTAGAATCACCAAATGCTATGCTGGAAGAAGGCCTAATACCTTTTAGTTCCAGGCCCAAGACCAAAATTCATAATATAAACTCTAAGGTAACAGTGACGTCAATGTGAAACTATAAATTCCTTCTGAACCTGTCCTAAGAAATGACACACTATATCCAATCTCAATAATACAGGAAGTCATTTAAGTAGAATTATCAAGCCTCAGACTATAGAATTTGTACTACACCTTCCTGCTTAACGCAATCCTTTTTTTCCCCTAGTCTCAAATAAACATCAAAGTAGCCTTATAAAGTATTTGACCAACTATCCTACTGCATATAACTATTATCCATCTAAGTTTTAGTATTCAGCAGCAGTACAGGACAATATCATCAGCCTTTTGCTGATGAGTTAGCCTAAGAATAGAGTCAGTTCTTCATATTGTTCCTTAGAGATATTGCCTAGGTGACTTTTAAAAAAATCACTATAATAAAGAGCTATAGAGAAACTACTTAAATGTTAACACTTTCACTAGCTTATGGGTTAGTGAATATTGTGGTTATGTGGTCATTGATTTCAACAGAAAATATGACAATCCAGAATAAAAGCTGTGGAAAGAAAATTTTTACAAGAAAGTTTGGGAGAAAGAAGGGTCTTCAGATAAAGTTTGAAAAAAATGAGAAAAATATATTAATTTTGTTAAAATTTTTTATATTAAAAAGTGGCATGAAGTTTTTACACAGAACAAAAATCTTGGGAAGGCAAAATTGAATAAAACCATTAAAACAGAAATATAGTGTTTCAAATGAATCCCATCACCTTGTGATGTCCTTTATAAACAGTCTCTAAACCAACACCAGATATTAGAACAGTCAATCCTAAAGAAAGAGCAGCAGTCCAGGGCCTCCACACTACTTCATGCAAGAATTACTGTTTAAATTAAGCCAGCAGCACCTGTTTCCTTTTTATAAACTCCCTCTTCTGAAGCATACAGTCCCACCAGCAGGGTGCTCAATCACAGCACTTAGATGGAGCAGCTCTCTGCATCTAGTGCAACACCCAGTGAATGGTGTGAAGGCAAACAAAGCATTGCCTAGGACTCCACAATGCCACCCTTGGAGGCTTACAAAACAGTAGTTAAAAGTTTCAGAGTGTGCACCACATTGCCAGCAATGGGATGTGTCACAATAGCAGATGTCAAAAGAGTTAAGCTAATATTTCTCTTTAAAGTACATCTGAAATAGAAAAATCTTTAATGTACACCATTTGTAAACAAAATTGCACTTGATTTTGCTCTTTTAAATGATCTGCATCACACTGTAACAGTTTCTCTTTTTTTTTTTCTTTTAATCATTAATAGAACCATGGCTCCTTAACTTAGAAGAGCCCTTTTTTCTCAAAACTACCTCTGCAAGATGGAACCTTGACGTCCCAGGAAAATGAAAGATAATTAACAATTTCCCCCATCACCTATGTAACTCCCTAAATAAATAAAAATTGCAGGCAGTTGCTCCTGGAGATTACATATTATGGTGTTGATGACACGGTCCTTTAGAAGATGTTAAACTTTTTAGTTTGACAGATTAAACAACTGAAATATTATAGAAATTTCAGGAACAACACACGTAAGTTGCATAAACATCCACGTCAGGGTTTGGGAGGGAGAAGGGCATCAATGTTGTAAATAAGAAGCTTGTAGGTTTTTCTCATCTTATGAATTTGTTTTCAGTAAGATGTTCTCCTCATTCTGACACCTCTTGCCAACTCCAATGCCCAAAGATCAAGGAACAGATCAGGATGTCATTGCCTCCTTTAATCCTATGGAGCAGTGTAGAAGACTGACACAGAAGCTGATCTCTTCCCTGATATTAGCCATCTTCGACTGCAAATCTTCCCATTCTTTACTCCATTTTGGATCTTTCAAAGTGTGTGATCATTCGCTCCTAGGGGGAAAAAAGGTTTATTCTAAGTATATTAGTTTAAAATGGTCTACATTCCAAAATATCTTCCACAGAGACTATCCAAACACACATTTTTCACAAGTACTTGTTTATGTTAATTAAATGTTAAGAGCAATGGTTCCTAAACATCTATGAAGATGTTGAAACGTACAGCTGCGCAGGATACAAAATCAACATACAAACATCAGCTGCATTTCTATACACTAACAACTATCCAAAAAGGGAACTGAGAAAATAAACCTATTTACAATAGCATCAAAAAGAATAAAATACTTAGGAATAAACCTACCAAGGAAGTAAAAAACTTATACACTGAAAACTACAAACACTGATGAAAGAAATTAAAGAAGACACAAATAAATAGAAAGATATCCTATGTTCATGGATTGGAAAACTTAGTATCATTAAAATGTCCATATTATCCAAAGCAATCTATAGATTCAATGTAATCCCTGTCAAAATCCCAATGGCAGTTTTTACAGAAAGAGAAAAAAATCCTAAAATTCATACGGAAACCAAAAAGGACCCCAACAGCCAATACAATCTTGAATAAAAAAATAAAGCTGGAACAACTTCCTAACTTCAAAATATATTACATGGCTATGGCAGTTAAAACAGCATAGTACTGGCATAAAAACATAGACCAATGGAACAAAAATAGAGTCCAGAAATAAACCTACATATATATAGTCAACTGGTCTTACAAAATGGGAAAAGGATAGTGTCCTCAATAAATGGTGTTGGAAAAACTGGATATACATGCAAAAGAATGAAACTGGACTCTAATTTTCAAAATACACAAAAAACAACTCAAAATGGATTAAAGACTTAAGCATCAGCTCTGAAACTACAAACCTCCTAGAAGAAAACATGAGCTTCTTGATACTGGTCTTGGCAATAATTTCTTGGACATGACACCAAAAGCACAAGCAACAAGAATAAAATAGACCAACGGACTACATCAAACTAAAAAGCTTCTGCACAGCAAAGGAAATAATCAACAGAATGAAAAGTGACCCACGGAACTGGAATAAATATCTGCAAACTACGTACAGTCATGCATTGCTTAATGACAGGGATACATCCTGAGATATGTGTCACTTTATCACTGTGCGAGTATCATACAGTATACTTACACAAACCTAGATGGTACAGCCTACTATACACCTAGGTTATATGGTGTAGCGTGTTGCTCCTAGGCTACAAACCTGTACAGCATTTTATTGTACTAAATACTATAGCAACTGTAACACAATGGTAAGTATTTGTATATCTAAATATAGAAAAGGTAGAGTAAAAATAGAGTATTACAATCTTATGGAACCACTGTCATATATGTGGTCTGTCATAGACCAAATGTCATTATGTGGCACATGAAATGTGGTGTGTCACTGATTCTGATAAGGAGTTAATATCCAAAATATATAAGGAACTCAATAAATAAGGAACACCTCAATATATAAGGAACTCCTAAAACTCAATAGCAAAATACAACTAGCTCAAATTAGAAAATGGGCAAAGGATGTGAAATTTCCTCAAAAAATTAAAAATAGAACTATCACATGATCCAGCAATCCTACTTCTGGGTATATACTCAAAAGAAATGAAGCAAGGTCTCGAGATATTTGCACTACAATTTCCACTGCAGCATTATTCACAATAACCAAAATATAGAAATAATCCAAGTGTCCATCAAGCAATGGACAAAGAAAATGTGGTATATACATACAATGAAATACTATTCAGCCTGAAAAAGGAAAGAACTTCTGACATGTGCCACAACTTGGATACACCTTGAAGACATTACGTTAAGTGAAATAAGTGAGTCACAAAAGGATCACAGAAGCAGAAAGCAGAATGTTGGATGCCAGGGGCTGGAGGAGGGGGTAAGGAGGAGCTGCTATTCAATGGGTATACAATTTTAGTTAAATAAGATGAAAAGTTCTAGAGATCTGCTATACAGCATTGTACTGATACTTAACAATGCTGTAATGTACACTAAAAGGACTATTAAGAGGGTAGAGCTCATTGTTATGTTTTCTTACCCACCCCCACAGCCCTGACATTTATTATGTATACGTGCAAAGTCTTGCATAGTTTTTCAAAAAGGAAAATATAAACAGATGGTTGAACTCAGTGCCAACAAAAGTACTATAGTTAACCTGTATTCCCATGAACAGCACAATCAGGTTTCACTTAATTAGCCCTCTCTGGTAGGAATATAGCAGGACTGTAGAACTGAAGGGAAGCCCTAAAGGCAAACAATTAGCAGAGAAAGACTCCAAGAGGGAGATCTGGGAACTGCAGAATACACCACAGAAAGCAAAGTCTTATGTGGATAGGTTCAAATCTGAATGATAGAGTTCTCAATTACTGCAATGCATAGAACAGCTAAGGAATCTGACATTGTATATCCTGCATCACACAGCAGATAAATGGGAAATGAACAAAATCATTTTTAGCAGCCAAATCAACACGGTGAGTCAGAATCAGACAAGATGCTCCCAAAAGGCTTTTTGAAATGAAGAGACTCAAGAATAATCTAATTTCAGAACATGTCTACGACTAGTTTCCATGAACCCAGGAGACAATTCTAACATAAGATTTCAGGTGACGCCGTCTAGGTGAACTATATGGAGGCAAATTAAAAAATTAAAAACCAATATCAGAGGTACTAATTATAATCCTTATTATCTGAAGAAGGTAGTGACACATATAATATTAAATAGTAGGTAACTTAATTTATATTTTGTTTTGGTCAATTATATTCCTTTCTCAATATTTTTCCCTATTATTTTTGCCAAGATTAGATTAGGGCTAAATTTGCATTTCTTAAAAGACAAAGGAACTAGACAGTAGAGAGTATGGTATTTGCTGCCCAATTTAAACAAAAACATTCTCAACACTGACCATATAACTGTGGAAAAGAAAAGGGGGACATGTATAGGCATATGTAAAGAAAGGAAACATTCTTAAACGTTTAAGCTATTAGGTCATTAAATATAAAATGTCCGATTTCGATTCAAAAGTTTAGTTTATTATATCTCAAATGAGAAGCAATACAAATAATCAGAGTATGTGCCTAAACTATCAATACAGTTTTGCCATCTTAACAGTAGCTTGTTTATGACAGCAGCGAAGAAGCCTGGAGAGCAAGTGGCAATGAAATCTTGAAAGGTGTTCTCCACAGCTTCTTGAGAATTGAGTATTTTTCCTTGCAAGGCAAGAAGTGGTCCAAAGCCTGGAAGAAGTGGGAGTCAGTTGCTGCAAGGTCTAGTGAATACGGTGGATGACAGAGAGTTTCCCAGTCCAGCTTCTATAATTTGAGCAGCGTTGTTTTTTGCAACATGGTCTTGTAAGAGGATTACTGACCAATTGCGGCTGCTTAATCGCAAGCATCCTCATCATTTCATCCAATTGACTGCAGAAGACATCTGCTGTAATCAGCTGACCAAGTTTCATGAAGCTGTAGTGAATAATACCAGTGCTGGACCACCAAACAGACACCATGAGCTTTTTCTAATGAATATTTGGTCTTGGACTGTACTTCAGCACTTCATCTTTATCCAACCACTGTGCTGAATGCTTGCGATTGTCAAAAAGAGCCTGTTTTTCATCACATGTAACAATACAGTGTAGAAATGGTTCCCTTTTATGTTGTGACAGCAAAAAAAGGCAAGCTTTGAGATGATTTATCTTCAGATGCTCGTTTAATTCGTGCAGTACCCATCTATCCAACTTCTTTACCTTGCTGATTTGTTTCAAATGGTCCAATACTGTTGGAATAGTAATGTCAAACCTTGCTGCTAATTCACACGTAGGTTGAGATGGATTCGCTTCCACTACAGCTTTCAGCTCATCATTATCCACCTCGCTTTCAGGTTGCCCACATGACTCATTTTCAAGATTAAAATCACCAGAACAGAACTTCTCAAACCACTGACATACTGTACATTCATTAGCCACATCCTTCCCAAACATGTCATTGATATTTCGAGCTGTCTGTGCTGCAGTGGTTCCACAACAGAACTCATATTTGAAAATAACACGTATTTTTGACTTATCCATGGTTTCACAAAAATTGCTCTAAAAAAAAAATTGAAACATAATCATAAGCCAAAATGTGTGTTTGGAAGAATGAGGATGTACCTTCACAATAAAAGTAAATAAATAAATGTCAAAGTGAAATGTCAGAGACATCAACTGTCAAACTTAGTACTTAAGGGAATCGGACATTCCATACTTAATAACCTAAATATATCAGTATTTCCATTCTTGTCCTTTTCAACTATACCAACCATAGTTGTTTAGGCCATTACTGAGTCAAATAAATTGAATCTCAGTGAACAGAAGACTCGTGACTTCCTATTAAGTCATCAGATCCACAGTTTATGCACATGATTTGATTACTAACCTCATCTGAATCCAGAAGGGCTGGTAGTGCTCTGTAGAGAGAGAGAAATATTAAATTGAAAAATGTATGATAAAGCAATAAAAAGATAGTAGGACAGGGCATAGTGGCTCATGTCTGTAATCCCAGCACTTCAGGAGTCCAAGGCAAAGCCCAGAAGTTTGAGGCTGCAGCGAGCTATGATCATGCCATTGTGCTCCAGTCTGGGTGACAGAGTGAGACGCTGTCGCAAAAAAAAAGACAATAAGATAATGAATGCAATTTAAAGTTTCTTTTTATTATAATTATCTAAGATTTGTATTTATTAATGGCCCTTTCAGGACAAAAAAGGCAAATACAATAAACAACAGAGTATCAGAGTTACAGGAATTGTATAGAGAAAACAAAACATGTTCTACAATGTGATAGGACCAATGTTTCATTAAAATTATGGTCCTGGAAAGGAATTAAAAAACTTGAAAAGGATTATTTCATTGATTTTAGGAAGATCTACTATACAGTTAAATTTTTCTAAGCAGAAATGTCATCTGAATGAATCATCCTAATTATTTTTGTTTGTATATTACTCCTAATTTTTAAATCAGTTTCAACATCTTGTATTCTCATTAGTATACTCTTCAGCACATTCATTTAAAATAATAAAAAAAAGTAGTACTAACTTTAAAATAGGATCCTAGTGGATTCAATAATAGGATTCAAAAACTTACACATCTGTCACTGAAGAAGGAACATTTTCTTCTACCCATTTCAAATCATCTTCCTGCTGGGAACACACAAATATCAGTTGTTACTAAAATGAACCACATAACATATCTCAAATAAGAACCTTAAGATCTTAAAATCTTTAGTCTTTTGTAACTCTAAAGTAGCACATTCACATAACAAATGGGACTACTGAAAGAAAAGTCAAATAATTTTCTAAAAAACTTTAAAAAATACCTTTGACCAACAACTCCCCAATTTCCCCCAACCCCTGGAAACCACCACTCTACCCTCTGCTTCTATGAGTTCAACTTTTCTAGATCCCACATATAAGTGCGATCATGTAGTATTTGTCTTTATGTGCCTGGCTTACTTCACCTAACATGTCTTCCAAGTTCATTCTTGTTGTCACAAATGACAGGATTTCCTTCTTTTTGAAGACTAAATAGTTAGTATTCCATTGTGTATATATACCACATTTTCTTTATCCATTCATCTGGTGATAAACATTTAGGTGGATTCTTTATCTTGGCTATTGTGAATAATACTACAATGAACATGAGTGCAAATCTCTCTTTGACATACTGATTTCATTTACTTTAGACAGTAATATATACTCGGTAGAGGGACTGCTGGACCATATGGTAGTTCTATTTTTTTGAGGAATCTGCATGCTATTTTCCATAATGGCTGTACTAACTTACGTTCCCACCAACAGCGTACAGCGGGTTCCCTTTTCTCTACATCCTTGCCAATACTTGTTATATCCTTTTTCTTTCTGATAATAGCCATTTTAACGGGGGTTAGATGATATCTCTTTGTGGTTTCAGTTTCCATTTCCTTGATAATTAGTAATTATGAGCATATTTTCACATGCCTATTAGCCATCTGTACGTCTTTTTAAAAGAAATATCTATTCAGGTCCTTTGCTCATTTTTTAATTGGGTTATTTGTTTTCTTGCTATTAAGTTGAGATCCTTATATAAATTGGGTATTAACCCTTTATCAAATGTGTGGTTTGCACATGTTTTCTCCCATTCTGCGGGCTGTCTTTTCACTCTGCTATTTCCTTTAATATGCAGAAAGAAGCTTTTTAGTTTGATGTAATCTCATTTCTCTATTTTTGCTTTGTTGCCTATACTTTTGGGGTCATATCCAAAATATCATTGTCCAGCCCAATATCATAGGGCTTTCCCTCTATGTTTTCTTCTAGTAACTTTACAGTTTCAGGTCTTATATCCATTTCGAGCCTTTAATCCATTTTGAGATGAGTTTTGTACATGATGTGAGATAGGGGTCTAATTTTATTCTTTTGCATGTGGATATCCAGTGTTCGCAACATTGTTTATTGAAATAATGGTCCCTTCCTCATTGTGTTCTTGGCACCTTTATCAAAAATCAGTTGACCATAAATGTGTGGATTTATCTTTGGGCTTTCTATTCTGTTCCACTGGTCTATGTATCTGTTTTTATGTCAGCATTGTACTGTTTGATTACTATGGCTTTGCAGTGTATTCTGAAGTCAAGTAGTGTGATGCTTTTAAGCTTTGTTCTTTTTTGCTCATGATTGCTTTGGCTATTCAAGGTCTTTTGTGATTCCGTATGAATTTTAGGATTGTTTTTTCTATTTCTGTGAAAAATGTCATCAGAATTTTGATAGAGATGCCACTGAATCTGTAGATCACTTTGGGTAGTATGGGCACTTTAACAATATTAATTCTTCCAATCCATGAACACAGTATATCATTTCATTTACTTGTATATTAAATTTCTTTCATCAGTGCTTTATAGTTTTCACTATACAGGTCTTTTAGCCCCTTGGCTAAGTTTACTCCTAAGTATTTTATTATTGTGTACCTATTATAAATGGGACTTTTTTCTTGACTTAACTTTCGAATAGTTCATTGTCAGTGCACAGAAATGCTAATAGCTTTTGTATGCTGATTTCATATTCTTTAATTTTACTGAATTTGTTTATTAGTTCTAACAGTTTTTTGGTAGGGTTTTTAGGGTCTCCTGTGTATAAGATCATGTTGTCTGCAACAGGGACAATTTAACTTCTTCCTTTTCAATGTGGATGGCTTTATTTCTTTCTTTTGCCTAACTGCTCTGGCTATGACCAAATAGTTTAGTTTTTAAAACTATATAGCAGAAATAGAAAATGATATCCTATAGCCTTAAATGTCCTCCTCTCAGTGGTCTAATACCTAGCATTTGTGTCATGCAGGCTTTCCCTAAAGTTGAGATAAATTCTAAAGCCCGTTACT